TAGAGCATATAATCAAACAATAAGACATAATCAGTATTTAAAATCAAAAATTTTCTGAAAAATCCAAGATTCACATATGGATCATCCCTGCTCTGAAGCATTGTCATATAATCTAGTGGTCTGAGGCATAGGTGGGGAAGCAGTGTCTGATTATCAGACAACTGACCTTGAAAGGTGGTATCAGATGATGATGCTGTGAGCCAGATATCATGAGCAGACAATAAATGTGATGAAAATTCAGAAAACGAAGAAGCCATGTTGGCCGTAGTCATATTAAAACAGCATATGTTTGCTGCTTTTTGCTAGCAGTGCCTCATATTTGCATAAATTTCAGCATTTCCAAAACTTTCATGTCATCTGATTTCATTAAATCTTCACAACCACCTGTGAGCCAAATATTATTAAATGAGGTAAAATACATAAAACACTTAGAATAGTAGTTAGTACGTCACAGGTGTTCACTACTAAGATCACTATTAGCCCTATTTTATAAATGACACAACTAAGACTCAGACAGGCATTACTTGCCTAAAGTCACACAGCTGAAAAGTGGTAGAAGTAGGCCTGAACTCGGCTTCCTTGGCTCCTATTTCTAGAACTCTTTCTCCATTATCCCATGCATAAAAGAGGGTGTATTTAAGCTAGGCTTGCCTGGTTTGGGCCAAGTTTTGTGGGGGAGTTAGGAGAGAAGTCTCTGAAATCATATTCCTCAGCCTCACAAGCCCTAGTTGGTAGGTGGATGGGAATTGATGAAAATATTCACTTCCTTGATTAACGAGTTAAATCTAGAAGCTTTTGCTCATTTTTGCAATAAGGGGATATGATGGTTCATTACCTGGTCCATCAAGGAAGCTGCAAGCCATTAAACTTACATAGATCCTCAGCTGCTAGGCTTGTTAAGAAAAATGTTACAATAGGGGGAAATTGACAACACAGGCACTACAGATATTTTTAGTCTGTGTTTCAAGGATGTACATCTTGGGTTTTGTTTAGGATTGAGCACAAGGGGATGAATTTAGATTTATGTGACAAGACTGCCAATCAGAAAGTTCATATTGGTGGGGCATGGTGGCTCACTCCTATAACCCCAGCACTTTCAGATTCCAAGGTAGGATTGCTTGAGCCCAGGGGTTCAAGAACAGCCTGGGCAACATACTGAGACCGTGTCTGTACAAAACAAAATTTAAAAATTAGCCTGGCATGGTGGCATGTGCCTGTAGTTCCAGCTACTCAGGAGGCTGAGGCAGGAGGATCACTGGAGCTCAGGCAGTCGAGGCTACAGTGAGCCATGATTGCACCACTGCACTCCAGCCTGCGCAACAGAGCAAGATCCTGTCTCAAAAAAAAAAAAAAAAAAATCCATACTGGGCATCTTATCTGTTCCTATCGTATGCAGGGGACTATGTGGGAAAACTAAGGGAAGCGGAGTAGTTTTCCGAAACTTTCAAATGCTGGTAAGAGTGGTATCATTTTTTTCTTGGGTGGGGGACAGTTTGGGAGTATCAGCAAACACCATAACTGTGTCTGTTCCTTGCACCAGCGTTTCTGTCATAAAATAGTTATCCTATGTCTATATTTTTAAATGTAAGCCATTGTAGCACTGTTCGTAATAGCAAAAACAAGAAACTAGAAGTCTAATGTGCTCACCAATATATAATGCCAGTACCAATAAATGCTTACCAATAAATACTGTATGTCCTTCAAATGGAATTTCATGCAACTATTGAAAAGGAAGAGACCCATCAATATGTGCTGAAAGCATATCACTAAGATATATTTTTAAGTGCAAAAAACAAAAATTTTTAAAAAATTTATGTAGCATGCCATATGTATATGTTTGAAGCATATATGTGTGCAGGTATATCCACACATTTTTCCCCCTCCACTGGAAGTATATGCTTATAATTGATCATTAGAAGTATATGTGATAAGAAAGGAAGGGGAAAAAAGAACATTTTACTTTTTGTTTTATCCTCTTATATAATTTTATAGATAGATTGACTAGTTTAACCACACAATATACTATTTTTTAAAAAAATTTAAGCCTCCCTAAGGTAACACAACCAGGAAAGGGTACAGCTAGAATTCACACCCCAGATTGTGATTCCAGAGCCCATCCTCTGGATTCTAGCACACTGCCCTGTACTAGTGTTCTCTTAGTATCAGGAAATACTTCTATCATTTGCTAGCAAATTACACAATTTTTCATGAAAATACCTAGAATCAAAATGTCCCAGGGCCTGGAGCTGCAAGAATATGCTCATTCTCCAGAAGAGGGCTCTGTATCTCATCTGCCGGCCATCTTGGCTCCTTTTCTATAAGGTTGTGGCTCAGCCAAGAGAGGTCAGTGACCCTGGGCCAGGAAACACACACTAAGATTTCCAACAGGACAGATTACCTTAAGGAAAAGGCATTAGGATAGCTAGAGAGGTGGGGGAGGAGGGAAAGCATGAAAACAGTTCATTAGCCAACTTGGTCAATGGGCAGGTGCAGGAAGTGGCAGAAAAACCCAGCCAGAATCTATAAATATACTTCAATATCAGTGTTCAAAACCCACAACATAAATGAGTGAATTAAGAAACTTGGCAGCATTTAAGCACCTAGATGTAAACTCTTAGTTCTAGCCTTAACTTCCATGAACTTTTCTGATTTGGGAATGTTATTTAATTGACCTGGGCTTCAGTTTCCCCATCAGCCAAATGGACCACACTATCTCTCCTGGCTCCTTTACAGAGTTGTGAGGAACAACTAGGGCAAGGAACATGCTTTGCAAATGCACGGCATCGTACCAAATGAGAGGTTATTGTTAATGTCTCTGAGATTTAACTCACAGAAGGAGAGCTATTTTGAGACAGGAAAATAGGAGGAAGCGTCAGAAAAGCATTGCTGATAACAAGGTAGACATACCTCACCAATGAAAGAAAGGGATCTCATGGGTCATTCACTCCAGTTCCTCCTTTTTATAGTCATGGACACAAACCTGCAGAGTCCAAGGTCTGTAGAGAAGTGATAGTGCCATACTAGACTCTATTAGTTAAACCTGTAAATAAAATGCAATAGTAGCCAAAGAAATATATATACTACAGGGATATACTACAGGGCCCCTGCCTGAGGGGCTCACTGAGCTGTAAATGTTGATCAGGGTCCTGGAAACAAGCTGGTGTGAAGCTTAGTAAGAAATTGGGGCAGAGGTGGGGGATGGACTTAAGTGGTCCAGCTCCAGGATGGCTGAGTGCCTCAGAGGAGCAATTTGAGGGTGGCCAGGGACTTGGATAGGACAAATGACAACTTCCTAGAACGGGGTGTTCCAGAACCCATAGAGAAAAGGAAACAGCCTGGCCTCGTCCAGGGTAGTTGACAGGAACCAGGGTAGGAAGTATTTGTAGTGGGACTAGCGCTCACATCATTAAGTCCCTTGTGAGTGGAAGAAGGAAAATGGGAACAAATGCAATGCAGCACACACAGGGCAAGTCCGTTTTTGTGGTGGTGTGAGCAGAGAAGGAGAGGCTAGATCAATAGAGGGAGACAGTGCCTGCAATGTGAAGGGCAGTGGGCTCAGAGTGCCACAGACTTGGCTGTGAATACTGGCTCTGCCGGTAACTTGCTATAGGGCCTTGAATACACCATTTTCAATTCTGAATCTTGGTTTCCTTGTTTCTGAAATGAAGATCTTTCTCTGTATCTTACACATTGTTAGGACTAAATGAGATGTTCTTGAAAACGACTCGCATGTAATTCCTAGAACATGATGCCCAATAAATATTGGTTTATTCCTTTATTTTGGGGAGAGACTCCCAAAAAATTTCCAATGAAATATTACAGTTGGAAATTTCAAGCACGGGAAAAGCAAGCTCAACCTACCTAACAGGTAGAGTGTGGAAAGGCCCTTTTGACAAATGGAGAACCAGCCGAAATGGACAGATAAGGAAATCTAATGTAGGGGGGGCAGGTTAGAAGCAAAGTAGGAATTAATATAAAGTATAAAAATATCTGCTGAGACGGGTGGATCACGAGGTCAGGAGATCAAGACCATCCTGGCTAACCCGGTGAAACCCCGTCTCTACTAAAAAATACAAAAAACTAGCCGGGCGAGGTGGCGGGCGCCTGTAGTCCCAGCTACTCGGGAGTCTTGAGGCAGGAGAATGGCGTGAACCCGGGAGGCGGAGCTTGCAGTGAGCTGAGATCCGGCCACTGCACTCCAGCCTGGGCGACAGAGCGAAACTCCGCCTAAAAAAAAAAAAAAAAAAAATATCTGCTTATAAGAGATTAATTACTTATTACAAGGGATTAATTAATGCATTAATGTGAGGGTCCTCTAGATCTGTGACAAACTGGGAAGATACTGTGTACTGTGTAACTCACCTTGACCCATTTTCTTGACTGCTCAGAAATATGGGCTAAGTTTTGTGTTCAAATGCAGTGGCTTTCCTCAGTCTTTTCCTGCTACCTTCTATTTTGATCTAATTAATTTTCTCGCATTCATTGATTGTTCCTTAATCCTTATTTTGTTGGTTATATTTTTAAATTAATAATGGCCTTGGGTCCTCTTTGCATGGGTATGAAGAAGTAAAGTGATAACAGTTTCTTTAAAAACTAGAAATCCAAGGGTGGATACCAAATAGAAAACCATAGTAAAATGAAGGATCAAGGAAAAAAGGAAATTATAGAAATGTATAAAGCTGACCTAGCCTTTATAAGAATAAAATTGGGGAAATCCTTATTTCTAGATGCATTTTATAGCCAAAAGACCAGAGATGTTATGACAAAACCCAATAATGAAAGGATGTTTTGTATTATTTTATAGATGGGTAAATTGAGGCTAAAAGAGAGGAAATGGTTTGTCTTGTGGTGATCTCATAGCAGAATGAGGTTCAGAACCCAGGTCTCTTGACCCTCATTCTGGAGATCTGTCTGCTGTGGTCCTCTTCTTTGTAATAGTAAATGTCTGACTTTAAATACTTGCACAAAACTAATTTGTGTGGGTTTATTCCTTTCTCCAGGGCCAAGTGCTTTCGGGGCAAAAAAGTCCTTGGAGATTATGATATCAAGGTGGAACAGGTAATCAGCCTGAAGCCCAGAGCTGCATCTGCATCATCACAGTTTCCTCTTGGCATGCCAGAGTGAACCATGTCGTTCTGCTGAGTGGAATACTGTGTCCATCATTGGGTTCTGGACTCTGCGTTTCCTCTCTCTCCTGTCCTTTCCCCAGGACCTTTCTCTCTGTGAGGCATGGTCCTGGAGTCTGCGTCTTTTCATTTCTCTGATTCCTTTTTATGGCTCTGGTGTCTGTAGATGAGCAAGCAGTTTGGTTCTTAGGACCCTCTTACAGTATAAGTTTCCCAGAGTGAAGAAAACCTTAGAGGAATGTCTTCCCAGGACATTGCACTTTACCTGCATATTGTTGGTGGCAAGATACTTCTTGGTAGGCACATGTCTGCCATTCAGGTATGCTGCCCCCAGTGATGGTTTCTCTGGGCCTGAGGCTATACTTTAGAGGAAACATAGAAAAGAACACTTCCTTAATACAGTGAAGCACTGAAAGCCCTTTTTTTTTTTTACCTTCCTCCATCCTTTGCTTCATAATAAATAGTGATTGGGTCCATTTGGGGAAGAGGAGGATGTTCAGTTTCAACAATGCATGTATTTCCTATGTGATAAAAGAAGTTACTCATCATTCATTATACAGTGTGTTATGATTTACTGACTGTCTTCAAACAACTTGTTAGATAGGCAAGATTGATAAAAATTATTCCCATTTTATAGATCGGGAAAACTGAAACCCAGAGAGGACAAGTAACTTGCTTAATGTTTTATACAGCTGTGTAGGGGGAAGTAGAACTAACACCCAGTTGGCTAAATTTAAACCTAGTGCTTTTATATTGAAACTGATAAAGGACACTTGTCTCAGTCCACATTATCGCTCTGTAGAGAACCAGCACAAAGGATGCTGGGCTGGGAGTTAGAGGACCGGATTTTTGCTCCTTTCTCTGCCAATGATAAGTTTTGTTTGTCCTGAAAAGTTAGTTAACTGCTCTAAGGCTCAATTTCCTCCTTTGGTAAATGGGGATAATTATCTCTGTCCCACTTTCATCACAGTGTTGCTATGAGAATTAGACTAACTCAGTATGTGAACATGTTTTGAAAACTGTATATAAATGTTCCGTGGTGGGGATGTTGCTGCTGCTATGTAGAGGACTTGCCAAAGTCAGGATTGTGAACTTATTCCCCTGTTATTATTTTCCAGGCAGAATTTTCAGAGCTCAACCTGGTGGCCCATGCAGATGGCACCTATGCTGTGGATATGCAGGTTCTCCGGAATGGCACAAAGGTTGTCCGGTAAGGGTCTTTCTGAACTCAGGGTCATTGTGACTGTCTCCAGAGTTACTACCTCTGGCTCAAAGAGGTGGTTTCTAAGTCAGGTGTTGGAGTGAGATAGCAGTACTATGTATGGTATACAGAACTTAATGATGTGTGTTCGGCAAAAGTAGTAGAAAAGGCAGAGAAAGCCAGCTTCTCGCTGAGCTTAGTCCAGTGGTAGAGAAAGCAACTTAAGCTTCACAGACTCAGAACTCACTTAGAGACAACTGGATTCCTTATAGGATTATTTCCCCCCACCCCTTCAGCCAGTGCAGCTCTGTGCTTTTATCCTGCACACATTTCTGTTGGAAAACAGGGTACCATTTCTTTAAAACAAACAAACAAACCTGAAAATGTCTGATGTAGTTCAGCCTTCCATTTTACATTGATTTGCTTAGGTTCCCCTAGTGAGTTGTGGCAGAGCCGTGTCTTCTATGTGAGATCCCTTGACTCTCCATCCTGTATTCTTTCTATATTCCTCATTCCTGGGAACTCCTAAGTCTGATAGAAAAACCTAGGGCTGGAAGAGACATGGTGGGTGGAAGAAAATAAGCAATTATTGAGCACTTACATGCCAGGTGGTATGCTGGATGCCATATAGATGTGATGTTGTCATACTCACAGAATTTTGTGAGGGAGGTAATGAGAATTCCAGATTGGAAGGTGGTCAAGCGGGGAGAGGGGGTGGTGGGAAATGGTTTCAACAAGTGTTATTCTTCCCAGGAGCTCAGTATGGCTTCAGGTTTTCAGACATCAGTCTTGTTCCAAGAAGAGATTTCACCTCACTCTTCCCTACCTCAATCTGCAGTAACCTGACAGGCTTCCAGTGTCCAACAGGAACTGGGTTGGTGACAGGAAAGGCCAGACTGGAGGTGTCTGGGACCTAACAACAGGAAATATGAGCTTATCCATTCTGAAGATCAAGGAAGAAGACAGAAAAAGAGATGTCCATCCGGGTGGGGAGTGAGCTCAGGTAGCTCCTACAAGAGAAAATGGATGGGCTCCTCCAGCTGTAGGTAGAGAGGGTAATGGGGATGCTTGAACATAAGCAGGTGGTGACAGAGAGGCCCAGTAACAGGGCAAGAATAAAGGCAGGCCTTTCTGGGTACCAGGGTAGGAACTCAGGGACTCAGTGTACAGCTCAATTCCTATAACTGGGGTGCAGGATTGGAGTTGTATCTCAGGCATACAGCTGGTGCTAACTTCCCAGAACTGAGACACAAGAAGATCAGAGCAGCTCTAACAGATGCCATGTTTCTGTTTGTTTGTTTGTTTAATAGATTGAGGGGATTCTTGTACAGATTTGTTATACAGGTATATTATGTAATGGTGAAGTTTGGGGTTCTAGTGTTCCATCACCCAAATAACATCATATCCAATAGATAATTTTTCAGCCCTCATCCTCCTTTCATCCTCCCCTCTTTTGGAGTCCCCAGTGTCTGTTTTTTCCATCTGTATGTCTATGTGTACCCATTATTTGGCTCCCACTTGTAAGTGAGAAATGCAGTATTTGATTTTCTGTTTCTGAGTTATTTCACTTAGGATAATGGCCTCTAGCTCCACCTTTGTTGCTGCAAAATACATGATTTTATTTTTTTAATGGCTACATTGTATTCCATGGTATGTACTATATATATTTTCTTCATCCAGTCATCCACTGATGGACACTTAGGTTGATTGCATGACTTTGCTGTTGTGAATAGTGCTGCAATAATATATGAGTGTGAGTGTCTTTTAATTTGATGATTTCTTTTCCTTTGGGTAAATACCCAGTAATGGTATTGCTGGGTCATATGGTAGTTCTACTTTTAGTTCTTTGAGAAATCTCTATATTGTTTTCTGTAGAAGTTGTACTAATTTACATTTCCCACCAACGGTGTAAAAGCTTAAGTCCTCTGAGTGGCCAAAGAAGGCTCCTTCCACCCTCACTTTAAAAGATTAATCTCTGAGCCTGGGTGGGGCTGGGGCTGGAGCTGGTGGGCAATGGCTGCCTGGGCAGAGAACCAAGAAGGTCATTGTATATCATATGAATCTACTGAGGCTTAGCGCCTTGGGAATAGATGCTGCCACAGAACTGACTCTCTGGGAAGGTGGGGTTTCTCTGAAGCTCAGGCATGAAAACAGGGGACTTGGTCCTCTGGAATAGCTGTGGCTAGAAGCTTTGCTGGCTAGAGGGGAAATGCAGGAGCTTTCCTATGCGTGGGAACATTCTGTACTCTCAGGGCTTCCTGTAGCTGTTGCTCAACCTCAGTTCTGCGAAAAATATTTGTACCCCTCCCTAGCGTCCGCTTTGGAAGAATAACATTGGGAAGTCTGGCATCTGTCCTCAGCCAGTCTGGCCCCTTGCTCTCCTGGGGGCCTGATGAGGGCATTGCGTATTTTAAGGAGCAGCTTTAAGGAGTCAGAAAAGGACACTGAGATCAGGGACCTCTGTGGCAGTGTGGTGAAGGCAGCCAAGTACTGTTGTCTTCAGTTTTCCAGGACCTGCTTTGAGCTCCAACTCAAAAGCCACAAGGAGCTTCAGGCTCTTAACTGCCTCATGTAGTCAAGGAAAAATCTTTTTCACTTAAGGTGTGAGAGTCTAAAAGTGTTTCTTCGCTCCTAAGGGTATTTGTACCTTAGAAAAAGGCAATGCTTAGCCCAGAGGAGAGAGGGAATGTCAGAATTCTGTTCCTCAAATCTCCTTTGGAAAGTACCATACTATTGGCCAGGCATGGTGGCTCGCACCTGTAATCCCAGCACTTTGGGAGGCCAAGGTGGGCAGATCACTTGAGGCCAGGAGTTCAAGACCAGCTTGTCCAACATGGCAAACATGGCAAAACCCCATCTCTACTAAAACTATAAAAAATTGTTTGAGTGTATTGGTGTGTGCCTGTAATTCCAGCTACTTGGGAGGCTGAGGCACAAGAATTGCTTGCACCCAGGAGGTGGAGGTTGCAATGAGCTGAGATCGTGCCACTGCACTCTAGCCTGGGTGACAGAGCAAGACCTTGTCTCAAAAACAAACAAACAAACAAACAAAAAAGGAAAGTACCGTAATATCCTATTTCCCCATCCAGAAAGGAATAATAATAATAAAATTACAACCATTGCTCATGTGTGCACTCCCAGTGCTTTGGGTGACTGAGGTAGAAGAATGACTTGAGCCCAGGAGTTTGAGACCAGCCTGAGCAACATAGTGAGAACTCATCTCTCCAAAAAATGAAAAAATTAGCCAGGGGTCATGGCACGTGCCTGTAGTCCTAGCTACTTGAGAGGCTGAGCCAAGAGGATTACTTGAGCCCAGGAGTTCGAGAACAGCCTGGGCAACATAGTAAGACCCCGTCTCTCCAAAAAACAAATAATTAGCTGTGCCTGGTGGTTTGTGCCTGTAGTACTAGTTACTTAGCAGGCTAAGGCAGGAGGATCACTTGAACCCAGGAGTTTGAGGTTATAGTGAGCTACGGTTGTGCCACTGCACTCCAGCCTGGGTAACAGAGTAAGACCTGTCTCTAAAATAACAACAGTAAAATGAGGGGCTTGGACTAGGTGGTTCTTAAACCCTCTTCTCTATCTTGGGTTTTGGAAATGGGAACCAAAATGATATATGGCCTGAAGTGCTGGTTAATGGCAAACCTGCCTCTACCTTCTCGCCAGGTCCTTCCGGCCAGACTTCGTGCTCATCCGGCAGCATGCATTTGGCATGGCGGAGAATGAGGACTTCCGCCACCTGATCATTGGCATGCAGTATGCAGGCCTCCCCAGCATCAACTCACTGGAATCCATATACAACTTCTGTGACAAGCCATGGGTGGTGAGTGAGGCCCCCTTCCCCCAAGTAAAAGGGTAGGATCCAGGCCTTACATCTCCCAGGTCCCTAGGAGGGACTCAAAATGCAGTAGGCCACAGCCCCAGGAGGGTCCCTACATCTCCCAGGCCCCTAGAAGGGTCCTTAAGATGCAGTAGGCTCCAGCTAAGAGGATGTGAGAGGAGCTTCCCCTGGGACATGGGGGAGGGCCGGTCATCGCAATAGCACAGCATCACCTGTCACAGTCTGGGCACCTTTGCTGCAGAGTGGACCTTTGGCCTCACAACAAAGTCGTACAAAGATACCATGAAGAAGCCTTTATAGGTCTGTAGGCTCTGCCCTTGGCCATAGGTTGCAATGATAAAAATGTCTGTTTCTTGCCTCCTAGAATGATCAAACTTTTAGAATGGCCTGAGCCCAGTGACAACCAAGGGAATAGTCCAACTCAGAGGTAGTGACAGAGTCCTACCAAGTGGTTAAGCAACCTGAAAATGAAATTTATCCACATGCATGTGAATCAAATACTTATGAACTAGAAGTGTCCTTGGAGATCATCAAAGCCTAACCCTAACTCTGACCTTAACCTTTCATGATAGAGATATGAAAATTAAAGAAAGAAAGTAAGGTGTAGAAAACTTACTATAGGATGCCAGTTTCTGAGATTTTTCTACATTAATTTCATTTAATCCTCACCTTACAAGGAAGATATTATTATCATTATTATAACTTTTTACAGGGAAACAAGACCCAAAAAGGATTAAGTAACTTGCCAAAGTTATAGTGCCAGGATTTCTCTACATCCCACTGCCTCTCCCATTGATTGAGGCTCCTATATAAGGAAGAAACTGATCTGGTTTTCTCTTTCTTGGCCAACTTGGAAATCTAGGAAGGCAGTGGAAACTTTTAGGCAGATAGAAAAAGTGGGGCTAGGAGGGAGAGTGACTTATGATGGCTTTGGGGGCACTCTGGCTTCCCCTCCGACCACTGAGGGGACCCAGCTCCTCTGCTGGCTCTGCTACTCCAGGCTGACCCTCTCAGAAGGTAACACCTGCCCCTAATCACATCCTCATTGGCTTGCAGTATGCAGGCCTCCCCAGCATCAACTCACTGGAATCCATTTATAACTTTGGTGGCAAGCCATGGGTGGCAAGTGAGGCCCTCTTCCCCCAGGTAAAAGGGCAGGATCCAGGCCCTGCATCTTCCAGGCCCCGAGGAGGGACTTCTGGACCTCAAGATGCAGTAAGCCTTTCTTGTTTTGTAAAAGTGGAATTTCAGCTGTCACACACCCTGGATTGCCAAGGTTCCTGGCACTTATGGCTAATTGTGAAGTTTCTGAACTCCATGCCTTTACACCACTCAGAGAGCTGAAGGGTGCGTGTGTGTGTGTGTGTGTGTTAACCAAACACATCTGTCACCTCTGCTCTTAATCTTTTTTTCCACCCCAGAACTAACAGCTTTCTTTCTCCTTTGGAAGCCAGGGAGAGCTTGGAGTGTAAGAGAAAGATCAATGGACAAGGAGTCAGGAGGGCTGGGAGCTGCCACGGTTAAGGAGGGGGTTGGGTTCCCAAGCTCCACTTGTTCAACCTTTCCCTCTGCATGGCCTGAGGCATCTGGAATCCTAGATTCTGCAGAAACACGCTAATAGAGTGTGCGATTTTAGTATATTGCTAATCACAGAAGAGCATATGTGAGACCTTCACCAAGTGTCTTTTTTGTGGACCTCCCTTTTCTCCTCAGTCACACGTCTTTCCTACTGCACACATGTCCTAACCCACATGCACCCCCGGCACTTGTCAGAAGTGGACTCCTAGCCACACAGGGTGATCCTGGTATTAGCAGCTTTTTCTGGGTGATTTCACTACTTATCAACCCTCTGACTGAACCTGTGCCCCAGTTTCTTCATCTCCAAACTGGGAATAGTAGTGGCAGCTGCCACCACTTTGATAGCCTGGTTGTTAGGGGCTCCTAGTATATGGGTTCTCTTAAAGAAATTTGTGGCCGGGCGTGGTGGCTCATGCCTGTAATCCCAGCACTTTAGGAGGCGAAGGCAGGTGGATCACGAGGTCAGGAGATCGAGACCATCCTGGATAACACGACAAAACCCCGTCTCTACTAAAAATACAAAAAAATTAGCCGGGCGTGGTGGCGGGCGCCGGTAGTCCCAGCTACTCGGGAGGCTGAAGCAGGAGAATGGCACCAACACTGGAGGCGGAGCTTGCAATGAGCCAAGATCGTGCCACTGCACTCCAGCCTGGGCAACAGAGCGAGACTCAGTCTGAAAAATAAAAAAGAAAAAATAATAATTTGTTCCCTGTTTTCTTTTCCTAAACTGTGCCAGAGGCCAGGGCAGGAAGAATGGGGAGAGCCTGTGGCTAGGGCTTTGCTCCTCTCGGGATCTGGGATCTGGTGAGGGGTCATACTCTCACCCATTCACAATCTGAGCACATTGCCTTGGGCACTGCATGAGAACAGCAGGGCACCCTGGCCAGACCCCAAGTTCTCCCTTCAGTTTCACTAAGCAGCTGCCACATGAATGAAATTTTACATATTGTTCTCTGCTTGTTCATGGGAGTGGACAAATTTGGTGATTGTGAGGGGAAGGTCCCTCTCAGTTGATGACTTTGGGTTGTGTTTCTCAATATCTTTACTGTGACTGCTATTGACGTGAGGAGATACTTTGGTTGGGTTGGAAAAGGCTCTACCTTGCACGACTCTGTCTCTGAGCACATTGCTGTCTCTGAAGTTGGTCAGGGCAGGCCACTGGGATTTGGGGAGCAGAAGTGGACCGGTCAGTGAAAGCAGCATTCCAGACAAATCAAGAATGGCACCACCCTTTATTGCTGCCAATCTATCTGAAATTCTGTCAGTTTTTCTGGGTTTTTGGAGACAAGTGTACCAGAGTTAAATTAAATCATTTAATTTCCAGGAGTGATAGGCATGGGGACATATTACTCAAATGGATCTGGAATCCCATTTTTTCCAAGAAATCTTTCTTGATTCATTCGATGAGTGGTTATAATGGACATATCTTCCTATTAATTGCCAACAGCACCCCCAGCTCCCAAATTCATTCTTTTCTCTATGTGTAAACAGCCCTTATCAGATGTTACATTTGTTTAATTGGTGACTATATGGCTGTGATTTAATCTAAGTTTCCAGGGAGGTATGGGTTAGATGCCAAGCTCACTACCTTGAGCAGACAGGGACTGCTGGAGAGGAGAGTGGGGTGAGCTCCCTGAGACCCAACGAGAGCCTGGGAACTGGCTGTCATTATTGTGTTGGCTGTTGCAGGGCTCTGGGAGTCTGCCACAGGCTGTCCTGGCATCCGTGTGGTGTCTGTGTAACTCTCCCACATGCTGGAAAGGTAGGGCCCCACATGCCTTGGTGCCATGCCAGAGCGTGGGCTGCAGCAGGACAGAGGTCATTTGGCAGAGCTGGCATTAGCTCCCCAGGGATGTTGGAGAGCCGTGGGAGCCCAGGCAGGTGACCAGAGGCAGAGCAGGAGTCCAGGCCCAGATGGGCAGGTAGGACATAAAGGTCAGATGAGCAGGTGGGGAGAATCAGAGAAGGCAGGAAAAGTCTGAGGGTTCATTCTTGACAGTTAAAGCAAATTGAAGGACCAAAGACAGCGAGGACAGCAGGGTACAATGGTGAATGCACCCAGCAAGGAAAAGAGACCTGAGTGCTCTTGCGGTGCAGCCCTGACTCCAGGATGTAATCCAGGAGCCTGCACTTTCCTTTGCTCTCCAGCCTCAATCTCAATTTGTCAAATGAGAGGGCTGGTCTAGAGACTCTATAAAGTCCCTTTTGACAGTGATATCTTAGGGGCTTGAGGGTCCATGAATCATCCTTTCAGTCCTGGAGGAGGCTCTAGAGCTCTAGAGTCACCAATTGTTTGTCACTAAAGGGAGGGACTCAGGAATTCCAGTGTTTTCCAGCATTTCAAAAATAACAAAATTATATCTATACCCACAAAAGGACCACAACAGATGATCACTTAAACTGCAGTTTGATAGCAGAGTTTGGGGGAAATATAATAAAAAGATATTATTTATGGTATAAAGTTTGAGGAACTGATAAAATTTAACCCTCTCATTTTATATATGAAGAAAATGAAATCCAGAGAGGAAAACTCGTTTGGCCAAGGACACCTAGGAAGTTAACAGAACAAGAATCAGAAGATTTCAGTTTTCTAACAACCCAGTTCCAAGCTTTTACTGCCCCAACCTCCTCTTCCCTTCCTGGCTTATGTGCCAGCATCGCTTGCAGAGAACAGGACCTGAGCTTTTGAAAAATGTTCTAGTCTTCCTTTCTCTGATAAGTAGATTTCATCTAACAGCTTTCCCTTCTAGCCACTCCAGACACCAGTGACTGAGTGTGAACTAATCCAGTAGCCCTAGAGAGATGTGTTTCCTCTGCTGCTGATGCACTGGGGATGGGAGTATAGGTGTGTATGTGACGGGATTGAGCAGGAAAGTCCTGTGTTTCCTGTGGAAAGGGCATAGTTTCTGCAGAGCCTGAAAGGCAGCTACTTGCAGGAATAAGGAGAGTTATGGATTGGAAATGAAGGGGCCTTGCTATGAACCTGGCTTAACTACTGTGCGACCTTGGGCAAGTGACCTCTCTGGGCCTCAGCTTCTTCATTTATAAAATGGAGCAGGGTGGGGGAGCCCAGCTGTGCACTAAGAAAACCTTTCAACCCTGACACTGTAAATATGTGTACTTTGCCCCTTCCCCATGGAGCTATTCCAGTTTCTCATACGTAGGCAGAGGGTCCAGTAAGTTCAGTCCCTGGTTGGGTAGTAAGTCCCAGAAAGACTGGGCCTGTGTATCCCACATACCATGACCATTCTAATCTTCCTGAAGAACTTCATTTTATGACGCCTCCTGCTGAAACTCTTGGTAGCTCCATACTGCTTACCGGAAAAATCCATCATTCTTTTGCCTGACATTTGAACTTCCAAGAGTTGGCCCATGTTACCTATCCAGCTTCATGCCTTGCCATCACTCAGGGATGCAGATGTGGAAAGTTAGAGACCCAAGTTTTACTTCCAACTTCACCTTGCAGTTCTGTGACTTTAGGAAAGTTTTGTAACCTCTCTGGGTCCCATATGTAAAATGAAGATGATAAAATAGTTCATCAATTTGATTTGAAACACCATTACAATTGAGAAAGGTAATTGAATTTTAGCTCACTCATTTTCCCTTCCCCAACTAATGCATATCATATCCTTGGGAATAGGAATTGTACACTTCTTTTATATCCTCACAATGCTTAGCATAAAGTCCTCCACAGAGCAAAGGTTCAATAAATATTTGATGAGTTGATGTTTTGCCTGTTTCAGAAGTTATCTAAGATAAGCGTAACATTTGCTTTCCTTTGCAGTTTGCCCAGCTGGTCGCCATCTACAAGACACTGGGAGGAGAAAAGTTCCCTCTCATTGAGCAGACATACTACCCCAACCACAAAGAGATGGTAAGTGGCTCAGTGGGGATATTAGTCTTTCTGCTGTTTTCATTTTGCACTTAGCCACCTGGTGACTGTGGGGCTCTGACAAGGGCCTCAGCGTCTCAACCCCAAAGACTCCACTGGGTTGAACTACAGAACTTGTGTGGCTGGAATAGCTAGATTTTAGCTGATAGCCTCTTGTCAAATTCTGGAGATAGAATAGGGAAGAACAGGAGTAAGGGCAGTTTAATCAAACTGAGAGAATAACAGACTTCTGGATCAACAATCAGATCTCACTGCTTTTGAGTCCCAGCCCTGACTGTGCCACTTGTTGTTGAACAAGCTACATTTCCTCACTGTGTGCAGTTTCCAAAAAGACGGTCAAGTGGGCATAATTATCCTTGCACAGGATACTCTAATAGGGTACATACACAATTTAAGAGAGTCATTAAGTAATAGCCTCTGGGAGAGTGTGAAGCACTCTACTAGATATAGGGCATTGCTCCTACTATTATTAATCCCCTGACTCTCCCATTCCCCTGGCGCTTCCAAACTGTGATAAGGCTGGGTTAATGTTGTGCCTTCTGCCATCCTAGTAAGTCAGAAGGAGCAGAGAGATGGGACGGTTGGTTGGTAAGGAGGCTATTGCCAATGTTTCTCCTGTGCAGGGACCTGGAGCTCAAAATCCCTTCTTCCCTGTCCCCACACCCTCTGCTCCAGGCTGGTGTGATCAGTTGGTGATCTTGCTTAACCCACCAATGGAGACTCCCTGCAAAGCATTCCAAGTGGAACAGAGATTATGTTTGTCCCCGCCTCCCCACTTCCTTGGCCAAAAGGGGTCTCCGTTTACACGATTTCTGCAAATCAAGAGCCTTCTTCTGACACATTGTCTATGACCCTGCTTGGCAGCAGACCACATATCAAAAAACAACCTTGGGTCTTGAAAAGAACCATCTCTGTCATCTTTGCCAGAGCTTCCCCAGGGAGAAGCTCTGAAACTTTAAGCTCTTGTCCTTAATAAATCCTAGAGGCCAATATCAGGACTTTTCCTTTCAGGGCAAGCCAGGAAGCCTTGCAGAGGCTGAGGAGCCCTAAGGGTCCTTTGGTTGGGAAATCTCAGGGAGCCCAAGACACAATGGTGAGAGTACTCAGCTGAAGGGTACGGGGGCTCTCTGGGGATGAAAACTGGCTTTTTCCTGCTGTAAAATCTAGCAGGGCTGGCCGCTGGAAAAAAATTGCCTCAATTGCCAGGTATATTCCCTACCTACCGTCCTTTCCCCTCAAGGGCCTTTGTGCTATTTCTCTCTGGTGCTCTATCCTGAAATTTGCCCTCAAGAGAGGACCACCTCTCTGTGGTGTAAGAAGCCAACAAAGGGGGATTTCAACTCTATAAGTAAAAGGCTTTGTGGCTTTTAAAAGGTTCTGAAATAGGAATGAAGATGTTAGTAATTCAAAAAGAGACAGAAGAGAAGCCTTCTGAACATCAGTTGAGGGCGTTAAGGAGAGTTAACCTGGAGAGGAAGTACCTATTCTGAGACAATAAGTGCATTCTTATTCAAAGAGGTGCTAACCAGGCGGGACCCTCTGCCAGAAATGGTGTAGAGGGGATAACAGCGTTGGGAGGCAGGTTAGGCCATTCTAACTCTCACGTTGAGTGATTCCGTGTCCCCCAAATGACTCCCCCAAACAGATGAAAGTGTATCAGAGGATTAGGATGAGTTGAGACAGGGGAAGTAGAGGATACACAGTCACAGTATGTTGTTGTTTTCATTCCCGCCAGTCAGTCTGTTTATGATGCTGTCAACCCACCTTCTGGTATTGTACATCACAAGGATATACCATCTCATATGTATGACATTCGCCATTTCTCCCCTACCAGATCGATTAAGACAAAGGAAAACACGTTTTCCTGGGGAGGAAAGAGAACAATCCTGGCTTTAGAAAACAAACTAAGCCCAAAGAAACACTTGCAGTAACAGCTACAAGGCTAGACTAATGGGGTTTGTGAGGCAGGGGCGACAGGCTGAGGGCAGGGCAGAAAAGTCATGGCCCCTTCCCTGACAGTGGCCAGACCATCCACTTGGCACTTCTTATTAGCTGGCAGCAAGAAGTCAAGTGGTAATGGCCAAAGCTCTGCAGGGGAGGAGAACCGGCTTGATCTTCAGGACTCTTGAAGGGATGTGATGGTCACTGGTCCCTACTAGGGCTGGATGATGTCAACAAACTCCTTCCTGAGAGGCAGGTGGCCCCGGTACCAGCTGCAGGTGCCATCAACATGCTTCATACAGACATAATGCTGAGCCTGGTAACCATAGAGCTTTCGTTCCAACAGCCAGTCTGTCCAGAGGCACTCATTAGGGGCCGAGATGATACAGGGTACTGTATAGCAGGTGGTGATCTAGAGTCATGACCACACAACATTAAAGTGAGTATGGTGTCCTCCTTTTTCCACTGCTACCTTTCAGGTTCCTACATACCCTTCCAGCCCATCTCAAATGCCCCTGTCTTATCAAGCCTTTCCTAGTCCCCAATCTTCCCCTGGATTCTCCTTCCCCAAGGTTCCCCGTATTCAATATTGCCACTTAGTGGCATCTCTGGAATCAGACAGCTCTGAGGGTCCTTACTCTACCACTGACCTTGAGCAAGTCACTTCACTTCCCAGAGCTTTCATTTCTTCACCTTAAAATGGAAATCTTAATTCTTCATAAATATGTTTTGGAGACTAAATTAAACATTTACAGTAAATTTACTATTATAGTGGCTGGCAAAGAATAGACTGTCTTTAAAGGGTGGCTGTATTACAGTTATCTCGTTCTGCTTCCCATGATGGCCACCTTCCCAGCCAAAGTGTAAGTACTTTGAGATCAGGGCCTATAGACTATATTGCTTTCTCATCCCCAACTTCATACAGTGCCTGATCCATGGCAGATCTCAAGTATAGTCTAGTAAGTGAATAAATTCATGCATGAATGAAGGCTCAGAACCCTTCCCCCATCCCTAAAGACTTAGGAAATGGACATTCCCTTACTTGGCAGCCACAGTTCAGATGGTAGTGATGATTCAGACTTTCCCTCTGCACCAAGGACAGGTCCTCCCAGGGCTCGATGTAGTTGCACAGATGGATGAAGACTTTTCCATCACTGAGGACCTGACCTTCAAGGGGAGATGGAGGAGAGTCAAGCATGAGGATTCTTCTCCTGGAGCTCCAGGGGCCCAGGTTCTTGAAGAGCCCAGAATTGCAGCCTCCCCAGTGACTTTTTGGTGGCAGTGGTGGCATGGGACTCAATAAAGGGACCAAAAAATAAAACTACTATAATATTTCTAGCAAAAAGATAAACAAATTATATTTGTATGAGACAGAGTTGTGGGATCTGGTGAAGGCCTTTTCGTTTAGCATGGTACAGAGAGAAGAATGTGGTCTTTAAAGTCAGAGTCTGTGTAGGACCCCCCCTCTTTCTTTTCTGTCATTTACTAACTGAATGATCTTAAGGAAGTTGTATAACCTCTCAGCTGGAAAATGAAAATTATAAAGTTGTCAGATTAAATGAGAGAATGTCTATAAGTTGTGGTCCCACAGAAGATATTCAGTAAATAATAGGCCCCTTCCCCCTTTCCAGTCCTTCCCAGTATCTGCACAGGCCAGTCTCCTGCTCTAGGTTAGTGAGTCTTTCCCCTGCCCCATAGGACATTTCCCCCTTTTTACCTATGAAATTCCTTTTCACCTTTCAAAGACCCTTTCAGTGCCACCTTAAAGCCATCTCTGACCACCTAGCCCATACCTCTTTTAGAATCTTAGTCATTCAGTCATTTACTCACTGAGTGACTACTGTGATCTAGTACCAGAAATACAGATATAAAAATGACAGGATCTCTGCTCCCAAGGAGCTTACAAATTGAGTAGGGTTGATAGATAAGCAGGGGAAATTACACTATCGTGCAGTTCTATACAAAGTACAGTATAAGAACAAAGGAACATACAATTATTTCCATCTATGGAAGGGGTGTGGGACAAGGAAGGTGTATCAGAGGAGACTGTGCTTGCATTGGGCCTTGAAGGGATGAATGGGAGTTCACCTGCCAGACAGGTTGGGGGAAGGGCTTCCTGTCATTGCATCTATCCTGTGCAGAGGCAGGGGGACACAGCCTGGCAGCATACCTTCTGCAACTGCAGGTAGCTGAGTTCAGCTCTTGGGAAAGTGAGGGGCTGGGAACTGACATTGACAAATGACAGAAGACAAAGCTAGAGGGGGCAGCAGTGTTCTGGTCACAAAGAGCTTTCAACACCAGGCAGAGGAGCTTGTGCCTTCTCCTGTAGGACGTGGGTGCCATTGATAACTTTTCCGTAGACTAGTTTTTTGTCATTTATCCCCACCCTCAGTTAGACTTGACCTCCCCAAAGGCAGAGAACATGTTTCCTCATTTCCCCTGATTTACCTCCATGCCTGGCAGCAGGCTAGACACACAGAGGGTAGGTGCTTAGGAAGGAGGTGGGATAACAGAGTTTGAAAGGGCCTGGTCTGCCAGACCTGGGAACTGCAGGGCTCAGTAGTGTGTCCTGCCTCTGCCTGTCCCATCCAGGAGCTCCTCAGTTCTGCACAATTTCACATCTTCAGAGCTGGGAAGCCCTTATCATTGTAGCCTCCAGTGCCTATGACTCATCAAGAGCCATGTCTGGACAGTGAACTCTTTTGAGGACTGTGCCTTGTTACTGAATCTCCACTCTCCTGGCCAAGGCATGGCAGTGACTAAGTGGTCATTCATTGCTGAATGTGTGGATAGATAGTGGAATCCCTTCACCTATTCCCTCCCCCACAGCTGTGCTTTTTCTTTCCCTTGCTTTCTTTCTAAATACTGTTTTGTGTTTTCGGGCCAGTTTAGATCCCACTTACACAATGAAGCTTCCCTGATAGTTCACAGCTACCAAACAGTTCTGTTCCCTGAACTCCAAAATAATTTAATGTTGCATTCATTTATGGAGTCATATACTTGTGTGATTCTTTAACTGTTCTATCCAAACCAATTCAGTATGGAGGAATCCTGCCTGGGCCCAAGTTCACAGAGACAGAACTATGTTAGACTCAAGCTCCTATTAGGTCCTGTGGAAAAGGCAGAGTTGACCTGCAAGGAGCAGTTTTAGAGAGGAGATTTTGACTTTGCCAAAAATCTGATACTAATTTAAACTATTTGAAAATGGAAGCAGCTGCCCTATACTGGGTGAGCAACCTGTCCTTAAAATAGTGAAACAGTAGCCAGGATCACTGTAATGAGAACTCTTACATTTAAAGGGAGGTTACAAGGCTCCTCCCAACTCAGAGGTTGTCTGTCACTAACACAGCTCTGTTTTATGCCCAAGAAAATGCCACCTGGCTCAGCCTGCTGCCCAAGGAAGACCCTGGCTCCTTTCTCACTACCTTCCCCAGGGCAGAATCTATTATATTAAGGCCAGTTGCTGGTCTTTAACTTACCAGTCAAGAGGTACTGCTTCTGGCTGTTGGCTTCTAGTTTCACACCACAGAGGGAAGAGTCAAAAGGTGTATAGATATACTGAACATCCTTGACTTTCTCAAACCCTTTGAACATCTGACAGGCAATTACCAAAAAAAAAAAAAAAAGCAATATTGAGTCAGTGAGTGTACTGCATATATTAACAGGCAAAAATTTCTCATTTCTCAGCCTAAATATTTAAGCAGAAGTCCAGTTCAGGATTTTGTGTCCTCAGATGTCCCTACTGGGTTATTTTCTCTCTTAAAAAAACAAACAAAAAAACACCTAAACCTTGGTTTATTCCAGTAGGTACATGTAGTGGCACCATACACCAGCAGCTGTGGGACCAGATGGACGCGGAGGCCCTCCCCTGCAATATCCCTGGGATTCTATGGGCTTTGCCTCCAAATCTCATCCAGTTCCACTTCAGCATCTAGACCCAAGGATCACTGAGCCAGGCCACCTGAAAGTTACCAGCCCTCCCAGAACACAGACCCCACTTCCTCCATCAGCCTTAGGGGCTATACATCCCAGCCTGCCCCCATGTACCTTTATCTGTTTGATTTCATACCGGAGCATTTTTTCAGTGTCAGCAGGGTCTGCACTGGCAGGAACTACCTTCTCACTGGAGATTTTGGCCCGAATCACTGCATAGGAAGAGAAAAGAGGGAACCTTTAGCAGCTGATGGGGGCAATACAGCTGAGGTCTGGATGATCCAGGGTCCCTGAAGAAGTCTATAGGGCAATTATTGGTTTTGGTGTGACCGGGTTGTGAGCAACGTGATGTGTGAGAAGGGGGACCTGGAAACACCTCCTCTGCAGTCCCTGGAAGTTCCAAACCCCTCAGGCTTATTAGGTTCTATAACCGCTAAGCTCTTTCTGCCTTTTCGAACCAGTTAGTCTGGAGAACTCTAGTTCTCCATAGCCGTTTGTGCAGTGGGGCACAGAGTAGGAGTCAGAGTACAGAAGGGAGGAGGAGCCCCTTCAGGGCAGTTGGTGTGAAGTTTATTGCTGTGGTCAAGGCCTCTCAGCCTGCCTACAGTTGACATTAGTAAATGTTTATTGAATTCATAAATGTTCTGACCCTGCACTGAGGTATTGCATCTCTTGCCATTTGAGCATTAATAACCAAAAACTGTTGATGACGTTCTTCCTCTGTGCCTGGCCTTGCACTAGGCACTAGGCCCATAGATGTGATTAAGACAGGGTCCCCATCCTGCAGAGCTCTTGATCTAGTGCAGGGCATACTTGTAAAGAACAATAGCACAGCATAGTAGGAGCGCTAAGACGGTTAGATGCTGAGGCAGCACCAAGGAGCCAGGGAGCCTGCAGAGAAGGGGAGAGACCTAAGTTAGACCTTGAAGGATGAGTAGGAGTCTGCCAGGAATTTAAGGGTGTGAGGGAGGGCATTCCAGGCAGAGGGAAAAGAAAGGACAGAATGTGTGTGTTGTGGTAGGGGCTTGGTGGCAACCTCAGTTATAGGCCTGGACAGACACGGGTAGTTATAATGCAAGCCCTCTGCCCTCCCCTTTCTGTCCCCAGTCCAGTAGTTCAGAATAATCATCAGATAGCTCCGGTGACACCTTGTTCAGTGACACTCCATAATTGCAGTATGGCCAGAGTGAGGGACGTCGCTATGGAAGTCCCTGACGCAATCTTCATTTCCTTATGAATCAGTCAGGTTCTGCGCTTGCAAGGTTGCTATGGCGCCTGGTCCTTCCCGACCCATCAGCCTCAGCAAGAGGCAACCGGTCGGAATTTGAGCTCCTCCCTTTTCCTCTGGACTCCTGGTCTACTGCTGGCCAGATACTAATCCCCCACAACCACCCCCTGCTGTGGACCTCGCGGACCTCGGACTCACCAAGTGCCGAGTGGCAGATGTGCTGTTGAGGGTGCGCCGGGGCGCAGCTGCATGCCTCGCCCAGCCCCGGGGGCCGCAGCAAGGCCAGCAGCCGCAGCAACAGCGCCCAGCTCGGCGCGGGCCGGGGGCTCCCAGGCATGACACTGCAGAGCCCGACTGAGCCTGTGAGGTCTGTCAGACCGAACAGCCCCAACAGGGCTCCTTCCCAAGGCCGTCGTGCCCCTCGCCCCAGGCTTTATGAGGTGGCCCTAAGGGCCAATCCCGCCCCGATGGGCTCCGCCTTCCTTTGGCTCTAGGCCACCCGCGGCGGCAGGACCCGAGGCTCTTCCGACCTGCATACTCAGTAAGATGCAGAGGGAAGCCAGGAAAGAGGCCCTGGCCTCTGTTTCCCTGCCTAAGTCATGAAGCGGTCTGGAAGTAAAGGGAAAGCACTGGGAGAGGGGATGGTGTCAAGGGCAGAAAAACGGAAAGAGCCACAAAGACAAATGCATGAGGACAGAAAGACTGAGGCCTGTGATTCAGGCAGAAAGAACAAGAGTGAGGAGAGGCACAGACAGAAGGAGTGAGACAGGCAGAGTCCCAGAGAGGCAGACAGAATTACAACAGGCAAAAGAGACAGTGACAGAGAAGGACGGACCCCTTGCTGAGCTGCACGCTGGGAATGAGACGAGCTACTCAGGGCTTCTTTCAGCTGCAGGAAGTGCTTTCAATGCCCTATTTATGAGGCTCCAAAGCAACAGCAAACAGTAATAGAACAGGACAGAGAAAGTTGGGGTGTGTGTGTCTTGGCTCTGTTGCCTGGGGGGTGGGGAGAGATGTCAAAGAAGCAGCCAGTGCTTTAGAAACCGTTTCTCACTCCCAGAGCCTCAGACTCTCCAGATAGCTGGAGACGGCGCTCTTGGTGTGGGTACAGAACACAAGGTGTCCCATCACTTAGGGCAAACCTTGGACCTCAAAGCCCTCTTGAGGCCCTAGGCTACACTGATTTTTATTGCATGTCCCTTCTCACTGGAGACTATGTCATGTTCTAGAAGGTGGGATAGCTTAGAAAACAAGGAAGCAGACTGGGCACAGTGGCTCACACCTGTAATCCCAGTGCTTTGGGAGGCCAAGGCGGGTTGATCACCTGAGATCAGGAGTTGGAGATCACCCTGGCCAACATGGTGAAACTCCATCTCTACTAAAAATACAAAAATTAGCCGGGCATGGTGGCCTACACCTGTAGTCCCAGGTACTCAGGAGGCTGAGGCAAGAGAATGGCTTGAACCTAGGAGGCGGAGGTTGCAGTGAGCTGAGATTGTGCCACTGCACTCCAGTCTGGGCGACAGAGTGAGACTCCATCTCAAAAAAAAAAAAAGAAAAGAAAAGAAAAAGAGAAAACAAAGAAGCAGGGGACTTGGGGGTGACTGTGACCAGAGCCTTGTCTGCTGTTTGAGCATAGTGTTCCAAGCCTCCAAATCCCAAATCTCCATGGGATTATTGCTGTGGGATGTTTCCACGTGGTGCTGGACTGGATAGTGGAAGGCTGGATTCCAATTCTGACTGTCACTATAGCTTTGTGACTTTTGCCTCTCTGGGCATCAGTTTTTTCTCCATAAAGTAGAGTTGAACTATGTGATTTCTAAAGCCCTTTGATGTTCTGTTTTCCGGCCTTGACTGGCCTCAACCAGGAATTCTGAAATCATCAGGCCAGATACCCCCAATATCTGTTCAAATCTTAGTTCCCATAGGAGTCTGACTTTTCATCAGGGTCAACATTATTTCCTTCAAAGGATGCATTTTAAAGATGTAGGGTATACCAAATAAGAGAACAGGGTTCCTGTAGCACTGCCAGTAATATGCTGTGTGACCCTGGAAAGTCACTGTCATTCCATGGGTCTCAGTTTTTTAATCAGTAAAGCAAGTAGATTGGACTAGTTCTTTCTTTAAAGAACCCTCCCAAGGGCATTCCCAAGAAAAATATTTGTAGGATTCCACAGAGAAATGGGCACACTCTGACAGTTTATTCCTTTCTTTTCTGATTTCAGCTGACACTGCCCACGTTCCCTGTGGTGGTGAAGATTGGCCACGCTCACTCAGGCATGGGCAAGGTGAGGCAGAGAGGCCTGCTATGCTTCAGGGTTGAACCAAGAAGGGCAGTTTTCAGAGCGCCCATTTGTGAACTGCTCTTCTCCCTCTGTCACTGATGAATTCTTTCCAAAGAGAAGATGATTTGCCACCTCTAAAGCCATGAGTGTCACCCAACCAGACCTCTTTCAGTAAGCAGAATGCAAGCCACCTGCTTGGTCCTCTGGGTCCTTTGCAGCAAGTGTGGCCCCTGAGTTCTGGGAAGGGAAGCTAGGGAAAAGGGGCCTCCTGGGAAGATGTGGCACCCAGATTAGTGTCTGGATCAGATACATATTCGTGGGTTTGGAGGCTCAGGGCCCTTGTGACTTCTCAGTGTGCGTATGTGTGTGTCTCCCTTTCCCCCTTTCTGCCTTGCTCCAACATTAGGTCAAAGTGGAAAACCACTACGACTTCCAGGACATTGCCAGTGTGGTGGCTCTTACCCAGACCTATGCCACTGCAGAGCCTTTCATTGACTCCAAGTATGACATCCGGGTCCAGAAGATCGGCAACAACTACAAGGCTTACATGTAAGTAAGAGTGGGGTATGCTTTCTCCTCAACCACAGTGGAAAATCTGAGTCTCCACATTGCAACCAACTCTCAGTTTAACCTCTTCTGGCCCATAGGCAGATAACAGAGAGAGGGTGCCACTTAAGTCAGAGATTTTTTACCTGGATTCCTTTTAAGTCAGAGGAGGGGTCTGTGAACTAAGATGAGAAAATACATTAATATTCATTTTCACTTGCCTCTAAGGGAAATTTAGCTTTCTCTTCATTTTGAACAGAGACAACAGACTACAGTAGTTATCTGTACGTAGGAGTTTGTCACTAAAGGTGATCACTGATATTCTTATATCTTACTATAATTGAGACAGATATCTCTATGGATTATTCTCATTCCTACTTTAAAATCATGGTAGTTGTTAGACTTGCCACTGCCTCCTGTTACTTAGAAAGAAACACGTATTTTACTAATCACAGATTTGTTTAATATTTTTGATAACTCTAATTGGGTAGCTCTGGGATCCCATGTACTCTGTCTTATATGGTTACACATCTTATATATTGTGTTCATTGGAAGGAATCCATAGGCTTCCCCAGACTGCCACAGCTCGAAGTTTAAAAGTTCCTGATGTAAATACCCAACACTGAAAATGCTACAGGCATTAAAAGCCCAGTGCATGACTTCTCTATAACTGTGTCCATTTGCCAGGATGGAAAGTTAAAAATTTCCTTCATTAGAATTTAGTAAAGGAAAAGATTTCAAAACTACCTGACTTTCCATAATATGCATAAAATGCAAGTGGCTTATAATTCCAATTTTAGAAATGTTAATCCCCCACTAAAAAAGTTTACAGTGGTGTTTTCTTTACAAAGAAAGAACATTATTAATATATAGATTTGATCTTGGTCAGTTGGGACTTTAGCAGACTTCAAGGTTGAGCAGCGTTCCCTTTCCCTTCCCCACCTGTGTCTGTTTTTCTTCTCTTACCCACCTTTTCACTACTTACACTCCCCACCCCTAGAGTGACTTAGGCCCCCTCCCTGCACTCCTGTCCCATACCACCCTTCTTCACACACCTCCTGGTTAGCCCTTGCCGCACATGTGTTTTGTGTCACCCTCCTCCTCCGGACTCTGAGCTCCTTGTGGGCATGAATGATAGAATCATCTCTGCATCTCCACTACCTTGTATAGCAGCAGGAACATTAATAAGCACCAATAAGTATTCAGGGAAGAACCCTTGTGGAAAACTGAGGCATAGAATTTATTTTACCTTTATTGTCAAGATTTGTACTTTTTTAGTTTACAACTTTATATTTATAGTCTTCTTGCTTCCAGAAAAGATTTAGGATTGCTTTAGAAATACGCACAATGTGGCCAGGTGTGGTGGCTCACATCTGTAATCCCAGCACTTTGGGAGGCCAAGGCAGGCAGATTGCTTGAGCCTAGGAGTTCAAGACCAACCTGGGCAACATGGTAAGACCCCATTATCTACAAAAGATACAAAAATTAGCTGGGTGTGGTGGTGCTTGCCTGTAGTCCCAGCTACCTGGGAGTCTGAGGTAGAAGGATCACTTGAGCCTGGGAGGTCAAGGCTGCAGTGAGCTGTGATTGCACCACTCCGGCCTGAGTGACGCAGGACCCTGTCTCAAAAAAAGAAAAGAAATATGCACAATCTAAGACAGAATAATTTAAAAACCATTATAAAAACTTGCTAAAAGAAGCAAAAAATATATATATGTTCAGGCACCTAGGAAAGCAGATTACCTATCCTATAATTTTAAAATCCCCTAAATAAACACAAAACATTAAACAACAGTGGGGTAAAAGTATCTTGATCCTTAAAAGAAGACACCTAATTTTTAAGGGTTAAGGTTTCAAGAAACAACTCAAAATGAAGCATAAAAAAAGAGAATTCCAAAACATTGATGAAGGGTGGGTGACCAGAGAAACTTTAGATAACATTTACTTACTTTTTTGTGTGCAAGGAGAAATGTTTAGGCCCTCTTAGCTTCTCTTCATCACACTTCTTCCCCAAACTTGTGGCTATATTCCTGCTCTCAAAAGAAGGAATTGACTTAGTAGTAGCCAAGATCAGGCTTGGGATTCTTTTTGTCTACCCCAGCAATCTCCATGGAGATCCAGAGACAGCCACTTTGGTGTGAAGAAGGTACCATTCCTGCCTCCATCTGCAGTAGGCAATAATGTGGGTCAGCTGTGGAGGTCAGATGAATTTTGGGTCTAGAGAATGGCCTCTCAGTGTCCCCTCTGCTCCCACATGCCTCAGGTAGCCTATATGGATCTATGCCTTGCATCCCATTGTTAGAGAACAGTGTGAAGTGTTAGGGAGCTTTGCAAACTTTAAAGTGCCATGCAAATGTAAGGATGTTGTTATTATCCACTCAAAAAGGATTTTAACCTATAAATTAACTTCAACAGGGTTATATAATGTTTTTTCTAGTATCTTAAATGTTGAAAAAGTCATAGGGGTTATCGGACTGGCTTGAAACCAATTATATGGGGTTCAGTGTCTTCCTTTTTTTTGAGACAGAGTCTCGTTCTGTCACCAGGCTGGAATGCAATGGTGCAATCTCAGCTCACTGCAACCTCCGCCTCCCTGGTTCAAGCGATTCCCCTGCCTCAGCCTCCTGAGTAGCTGGGACTACAGGCACCCGCCACCACGCCTGGCTGATTTTTTGTATTTTAGTAAAGACGGGGTTTCACCATGTTGACCAGGATGGTCTCGATCTCCTGACCTCATAATCTGCCTGCCTTGGCCTCCCAAAGTGCTAGGATTACAGACATGAACCATTACGTCCGGCCCTAACTTTCTTATTTTAAGTGTTTATGTAAGTGAGTCCTTCAAATAATATGGTATGGTGATGGGCAGCCATGAAGTCATTCAAAATTTGTGATTGAAAGGTTCTACTACTGAAACTTCTCATTTTGAAGTGAAGCCTTCTCAGATTATGAAAATTATTAATATTACTACTAATGAAATAAATAAGCCTATAGATGAAACAGTGTTTCACATTGTATTATGCATCAGGGCAGTAGGAATATCCTGATAAACCAAGGAAACATCGTGGGAAGAAAGTTAACACCTACAGATAGAATGGTAAAATGAGTTTTGGCTCAGGTTGAGTTGGATATGCAACCTGAAAATCGTGGGAGTCAGTGTACAAATCCAAAGTTTGTGAGACTCTCTTACGTGCCATGGCTCTGTGCTGGGGACATGGAAGTGAGTGACTTTCTGCCCCTGCCTTGAGCAGTCTGGTCACACGGACACATTTGTAAACCACAAATGTTAAGAAGACAGAGTTATTTTTATTATGATTCTGTCTTCGTGTTTCTACTCAGGTTTTGCCAGCCACTCAGTAGTTTGTTTCTTTGCCTTTCCTGAATTAGGTACTGGAGTGTAGGGAAAAGCACATCATGTGAGGAAACCAAGATTCTTGGACTTTTATCTCATACCTATTTGGACTATATGTAATCTCAGACAAGTCCTCTAACCTTTCTGAGTCTTATTTTTCTTATCACTCAAGCAGGGGCAAGAATTTCAGCCTACTCACAATAGGGGGTTTGAAATGAGGGGTTTGTTGAGGAGGCACCTTGGAAAGCAGTCAGTACTGTTCAAGCTTAAGGACTGTTGTGACCTTGTTCGTTAACTCATGGGGCCACCTCGTGGTTCTGAAAAATGAGCCATATATCTAGGTTCTTCAGTGTCTGAAATCAGATCTCTGGGGAGACCACTCTCTAACAGTACTGCATGATAAGGGCAGCACAGGAAGGGCTCTGTCAACAATGTAAGCAGGACTCTTCTGTCCCTTAGGCCATCTCCTTCCTCTTGACTGTGTCCGGGTGAAGGCTAATAATTAAAAAGACATATTTTGGGTGTTCATAGTTAATTTAAACCTGTATCAGTTCGTCTTTCTGACAGCCCTGTGTTAACAGTTAACAGGCTCAGAGGGGCGAAATGACTCTATGAAGGTCATCCAGCCCATCAAGAGCAAATCCAGAACCAGAAACCAAGTAATCCACCTCCTGTTTAGTCTACCACTAGTTGACACACATATTCATGGATGGAGGGTGCCGTGGGCACAGCAGAGAAGAGGCTGATGGCTTGATGCCATCGGCTGCATTTGACAGACAAGGCAACTTAACCCTGAAGAGTTAATTGACTTGCCCAGAGTCACATTGCTAGTATTATAGTGACCTTCAGAAATTAACACTGAATGAAGGAATGAGTGAGCCAGTAAGGAAGACATTCGGAGATATTCATAAAGAACCCTGCAGGAGTTCTCAGGATCAATGGACTTCAGTTTGTATGTATTGAGTCAGTATAGATACTGAATGGGTAGGCTTCTGGGAACACAAGACGTGATATATACCTTCAAGTGGTTTTCAGGCTTGTGGAAAAATCTGAACTTAAGACTCAGATCAAATAAATAAAAAGTAGATTTAAGTTTGAAAATCAGGCAGAAGCAAAGTCCTGTAGGAGTTCTAAGGACAGTAAGAGGTCATCCAGTTGAGAGATCAGGGAAGGCTCTGTGGAGCCAGAGCAGTCTGGGCAAGACCCTTGTAGAGAGGAAGAGGGTATTGCAGGTGGGGATTTGGCAGAGGCACCCAGGCTCTGGGCTCAGCAGACAGACCTCTGGGCTATTTGTGGGAGAAGCAGATGTGGAAAGCAACAGAGAGCTAAAATTCTGGAAAGTTTCATGCCCTCCTCTTGCTGGTATGGCTCACTGCCTGTCCTATCCTGGTGGGATGTTGTTGCAGGAGGACGTCGATCTCAGGGAACTGGAAGACGAACACTGGCTCTGCAATGCTGGAGCAGATCGCCATGTCAGACAGGTGAGTGAGAGAAGTCCAGTTTCCAACCCAGTGAGAGGGAGACTTCCTTAGATGAAGAAGTTTAGGAATTAAGCTCTGTCCAAAGGGAGTCACGGAGCAAACAGGACAGATAAAACGTTTTACAAAAGGCCCAAGTATCCCATTTAACAAGATCAGGCAGGACTGATGATAAAGACAGATGATAGAGATAAAGACTGCCATACCATAGGTAAAAGCCTCCTGAGGCCTCACCAGAAGCAGATGCTGGCACCGTGCTTTTTGTACAGTCTGCAGAACCATGAGCCAAAATAAACCTTTTTTTTTTTTTATAATTACCTAGCCTCAAGTATTCCTTTATAGCAACACGAAACAGACTAATCAAGGAGTGAGGTGTTGCTATAAAGATACCTGAAAATGTGGAATTGGCTTTGGAACTGGGTAACGGGCAGAGGTTGGAAGAGTTTGAAGGGCTCAGAAGAAGATAGGAAGCTGAGGGAAAGTTCAGAACTTCTTAGAGACTGGTTAAGTGGTTGTGACCAAAATGCTCATAAAAATATGGACAGTGAAGGCCAGGCTAACAGGTCTCAGATGGAAATAAGAAACTTGTTGGGAACTGAAGCAAAGGTCACACTTGCCACTCCATAGCAAAGAATTTGGCCGCATTGTGTCCATGCCCTAGGGATTTATGGAAGGCTGAATTTAGGGATGATGACCTAGAGTATCTGGTGGAAGAAGTTTCTAAGCAGCAAGTGGTCAAGAAGTAGCATGGCTTCTTCTAACAGCCTATGGGAAAAGATGACTGTACATACCATAGAAGCTCCAAGGAAGGAGTAATTAGCATGGGCTGGAATAGCCAAGGAGGCCTTCTAGAGGTGGTGAGAACTGCTTTGGGTCTGCAAAAAGGAGTAGGATCTGGAAAGCAGATGGAGGAGGGCACTGTAAATAAGGGTATGTGCTTGATGTAGGTAGATGGAGGGAGCAGTGAGGATGGGAGGTGGGAGAGATGGAGGCAGCAAGGAGAGCCTGACCGGCAAGCGAGCTTTGTGGTGAGCGAATTGCCCCAGCTTCAGGACACCTCCCCATCACCTCCAGGTACAAACTGTGGGTGGACACCTGCTCTGAGATGTTTGGCGGCCTGGACATCTGTGCCGTCAAAGCTGTACATGGCAAAGATGGGAAAGACTACATTTTTGAGGTAAGTCTGGACCAAGCAGTAAGAGATAACTCCCAAGGCTTAAGAACTATGTGGGCAGCTCAGACTGCCTTTAATTTAGGGCCTCCTGAGCCATGGAAATGTTCCAGCAAGATCAGTGGGTAGCTATTGTTTCCAACTTGCTAGCCAGGAGTAAAAGATGTTGGATATGGGTTCCTGGGATACTAGTCATTCCTCTGGGAAGGCTGTAGTGATGTTACCATTCTCTGTCTCAGAAAGCCACCCTTGGGAGTCATTCTGTCCAACCTGCTCATTTTACAGGTGAGGAAACTGAGGCCTAACACCATGAACATGTTCCTAAGACCACAGAGTGAATCAGTGTCTCAGCCAGGCACCAGATGTAGGACATTCTTCTTAGCATCTCTCTGAGCCTTGGAGACACTACTCTGCCTGGTCCTCTAACACAACTTTGCTGACTCCCTTTTCCTGTTTTAAAGGAAAGCCAGTGGCAGTATGAATCCTTCACACACATTCCTATCCAATCTGGCTGGGAGCAGGAAAGACTCCTTGCTAAGAGTTTGGTGGTATTTCCAGGATATTGGTGTCAGGAGCCCAAAGTAGGCTTCAAATTCAGAATCTCTCTCATTTCCTGCATGGTCTGTAACCTTCTGAATGGTCACACCTCTCCTTGCTAGGTGGGCCTCTGTTTTCTCATCCATAATTGAGAAAGTTGGACTATGGAGTCTGTGAGGCAGACACTTCCTAAAGGAGGAAAACACTGATCTGAGCCTTGAGGTACAGGAAGAACCAGGATTGGTGGTGAGAAGGGAGGGCATCCCAGTTCAGGTACAGAGGGATGAACCTGGTCATTTAGTGAGCAGAGCATGCTTAGAGATAGAGATTCTGTGGGTGAAAAGTAACAGAGATGAAAAGCGCATGCTCCTAATCAGAGATTTAAGGGGATGTCTTTCACTTCTGCCTGCTCCCTGCCTGCAAACTTTTGCGCCCTGAGGCTCTACCCTCTCCTTGCTTTCTACCTCTTCTGGCTACCTTCATTCAGCAATTTGTGGTCTCACTGAGCCCTGGCACGGGTAAAGCTTGGGGAAAAGACCTGAGGCAAAGGTTTGTAGAAGGAAGTGACAAAGATCCTATTTCTGCAAATGATCATACTTCCAGCTGAAGACAAGAACTCCTGCTTCATCTCCAATCCATCTCTGCTGGCTTAATTTCTACCCCTTCTGAAAGATTGTACCAGGCCTTTTATGTTTCCAGACCCCTTTCCTCACCTGGGACACATCTCCCACCAGGTCATGGACTGTAGCATGCCACTGATTGGGGAACATCAAGTAGAGGACAGGCAACTCATCACCGAACTAGTCATCAGCAAGATGAACCAGCTGCTGTCCAGGACTCCTGCCCTGTCTCCTCAGAGACCCCTAACAACCCAGCAGCCACAGGTAAGCAGCTAGGAAGAGACATAGCAGAGCCAAGAACCATTCCCAAGCCCACTGCTCTAGATGTTGGTGGCCTAAAGAATGGAGTACAGGCCAGATGCCCACAGGCCTAAATGGGATCTAAGGAGACATCTCCTTCCTCCTTCCCTTCCCTTTCCCCTGGAGGCCTGATTATTTTTCACCACCCCTTATAGGGGCCTTCTCAGCAATCTGCAATATCAATTATATAATTAACCAGAGGAGCACTGGATCTCTTTCCTCTGAACCTGAAGTCTCCAGGGAACCAGAGCCAGTTTCACCTGGGACTCAGGATGCTCCCGATTTTAAACTGAGAGGTATTTGAGGAAGAGCTGGGTCACATCACTTACTGTCTATTCACTGCTTCACTGTGTAGAGCCTGCTATCTTTGTAAATAAGGAAGGCTCTTTCTGAGAAATAAGCTGGTCTGGAAAGGGGAGAATCAGGTCCCTCATTCTGGGAGAGGGTGACAAGGCAAAACTCAAATTAGAAATCTTTCCTTCCTAAGAGAGAAGTGGCCTTCTTCAGTCGGCCAGTCACACTCATGGCAACAGCATTCCAGCTGCAGGTCTAGTGGGAAATCCACACTGAAGTTTTGTGGAACATCAGACCCTGTGGCAGGGAAAGGTCTTTATTCCTATGCAAGAGGTATCTCATCTTTCAAAAGTATCCCCAACTCCACTAAATGTTTATACTATGAAATGTTAAGAACTTGGGACAATGAATCAAAAACTGAATCTTAAGTCTAGCTCTTCCTCTAAATAGCTGTGTAAGTTTGTGGGGAAATGACTAGCCTTTCTTGGGCTCAAGTTTTATTATTTATAAATGAGAATTCTCTCGGATAGCTTTCCTTCAAAATCCAACTTTAAACAGTTAGGGAGGTAGAATAGAATAGTGATTCAGAGTGTGGGCTGTGAAGTGAGAACTACCCAAATTTGAATCCTAGACTCTTCATTTATTGGCTTGGTGACCAGCACATAAAACAGTGTAACAATTGATAAGTCAGTTCCCTCTCTGGATCTCAAGTTTCCCCACTGATATCTAGAGACCTTCTGTGCTCTGAAAATTTCTTTGAGTAGAATATTCCATCTTCACTAATCCTGATAAATGGGAACTTCTGGGCTAATAAATGTGGACCCTCACTCTTTCTGGGTATCTGAGTTGAGAATAGCCCTGTATGATGGTATGTTGTTATGTATTGGCTCTTATGAGTGTTTTGGTTACTAGAGAATCACAGCAGGGTAACTAGGAAAACAAAAGTTAATTGCCTGTTAGAGATACAAACCCACTATTTAATTACTATATTTAACTAGAGATGATAAAAAGATTTTTATGGTTCAAAAAAACCAGGCCTATGGTGAGATTTTATGATTTTGTAAAAATGTGATGGAATCAAGATATGTGAATCCTAGTTCTGCCCTTTAGTCCACACTAGATAATGAGAGAGTATCTGCAAACCAGATTACTGCTTGTCCCTGCTGTAGCAGAAGAGTGACAAGTAGTCCCTTCTTCCCTTTAATACTGAGAAAAACAGAGAACATCTGGTAGTATCTTAAAGAATTTATGACAGGGTAAGAGAACCTGACATTACCCAGACAGAATGGGCTGCTCTGGGATTCTGTGAAGGGCCCTTAAGTACTTACAAAATGTGTAAACTTTCATGACCCTCTACAAGGAAAGTCATTCTGAACTAAAATGAAGGCCATGCTAAGAGTCAGGAGACCTGCATTTAGCCCTGTCCTTGCCACTGCTTCACCAGGTGACCTTGGGTAGGTTTCTTCCCATTTCTGTGCCTCAGCATCTTTGTGTCTAAAATTAAAGGTTGAACACACTAAGATCCCTTGTAGCAAGACAATCCATATTATACAAAATGGTGTCTAAAGTATAAAAGTTACGAAGCAAAGAGATAATTTACAGAACAAAATTTTCTACCCCACAAAAAGCATTATTAGCCCTTCTTTGGTATAAGCCCCTTATTTTATAAACATTAAATGTTGTAGCTTGAATATTTTGTAAGAGAAATCTACAATACGTCAGTGTCAAGGCAGAAAACATAGCAAGGAATAAGCTCCCTAAATATAGCATCTCTTTCAGAAATTCCTTGTAGCAAAGTCAGTTTGACTCAAGGATAAGCTTTTTTTTGCTCAGCCTTATATTCATATCCAAAGGATATTGTGGAATGCATACCATGCTGGGAGTCAGGACACATAAGGGCTAATCCTCACTCTGCTATAACATTATGTGACCTTGGGCAAGTCACTTCCCGTCTCTAGACCTCTGTTTCCTCACCTATAAAGTGGAGTTGAATTAGATGATGTCTAGATCCCTTTCAATTCTAAGGCCACATAATACCTGGAGTTAGCCAAACTGCAAAGTCTGAAGTTAGCCAAACTGCAAAGTCTCCATAAGACCCTCACTCCTAACATCACCTGAAAGTTCAGAAAGTTCCAAAAACCACTCTCAGGTTTCACAGTTCTCTGGAAGAACTCACAGAACTCACTGAAAGCTGTTATACTCACAGTTACAGTGTATTATGGAGAAAGGATACAGGTCAAAACTAAGCCAAAGGAAGATGTGTAGAGCAGAATTTGGGAGGGTTTCAAACACAAAGCTTCCATTAGTTAGGACTCATTCCCTTCCTGGCTTTGATATGTGACAATATGCATAGAGTATTAACAACTGAGAAAGCTCCTCTGAGCTTCAGTGTTCACAGTTTTTACTGGGGCTTCGTCATGTAGGCATGACTGATTGATCACCTGGTTGAACTCAGCCTCTGGCTCCTCCCTCCTTGGAGGTCAGAATAATACCATGTGGCCTGAGGGACCTACTATGAGTGACAAGAGACACTCCTATCACTCCAGAAACTCCAGGAGTGTAGAGGTTACTTCCGAGGAGCCAAAGACAAAGGCCAGAATTCTCTTAGGGCAAAGCCAAATTCTTTACTATACACATGATTAAGTTAATATAGCAAATGTTTCTCAAATACTTTCAGCCCCTGCGGGCAAGGACTATGCCTTATTGATCTGCATTTCCATTGACTAACATGGAAATGCAGAGTGTGTGCTTAAAATTAGTTAATAGCCTTAGGACTTAAAGTTGCTGTCCAAAACGTTTATATTCTAAATTAAAATAATGAGTGAATTCAGAGGTCATCATTTCTCAGATGGTATCTTCTGGTAACCTCTATGAGCTTCCTCCTGAGCCTTGTGCCTTGACCTCAGGCCACCCAGAAGGCAGAAGACATCCAACAGTCAGCCACAGTTGTCAAAACTCCACAACTTGAGCTTAAAGCCATGACTATACTGGTCATATTCCCACTTCCAATTTCCTCTAGATAATAGCACATTTTCATTGGTTACATTTGAGCAGACATTTCAGCCATCATAAGTCCAGGACTATGGAACTGTCAAACTAGATTACCTTCGTGTCCCTGCTATCACATCCACCCACTTATCTGCACCTCCACCCACATGAATCTGCTCGAAGGCTCACCCTCCACTTGTGACCTAAATTCTATCTCCTTTTTGTTTTCAAGTATCTTCTCTCTTCTCCACCATCAATTTCTCTTTTTCCAAAAGATTATTGGAAAGTTGTTTTAGACACCATCTCCCTTTTACCACATTGTCTCTCCTGTCCTCTGTAGTCAGCATCCCACTCCCACCATCCCACTGAAATTGCCCTTGTCAAAGTCACCTCCAAGGGCCAGGTGCCGTGACTCACGCCTGTAATCCCAGCACTTTGGGAGGCCAAGGCAGGTGGATCACAAGGTCAGGAGTTCGAGACTAGCCTGGCCAACATGGTGAAACCCCATCTCTACTAAAAATACAAAAATTAGCTGGGTGTGGTGGCGGGTGCCTGTAATCCCAGCTACTTGGGAGGCTGAGGCAGGAGAATCACTTGAACCTGGGAAGTGGAGATTGCAGTGAGCCGAGATCGTGCCACTGCACCTGGGTGACAGAGCGAGACTCTGTCTCAAAAAAAAAAAGTCATCTCCATGTCACTGAGTCCAGTGGTCACTTTTGTTCTAATCTTTCAGACTTTTCAGTAGCATTTGATGCAGTTGACTACTCCCTCCTCTAAACACTATTTTCTAGGCCCCTGAGACCCCACCCTCACTTGGTTTTCATTCTACATCATTGGCTTCCCCTTCTTGGCCTCCTTTGCTGATTCTTCCACTTCTGTTGAGTGTCTAAACATCAGTGCCCCAGAACTTGGTCAGTGTATATATTTGTTGGTGGTCTTGGCCAGCCCATATCTATCTCCTGCCCTGACCACCCCTTCAAACTCCAGACTCATATTTCTAATTCTTGCTTGACATCCTTACTTGCATATCTTAAGGGCACCCTAAACATAACACAGAACTCTAGTTTTTTTCCCTTAATCTTGTCCCCACAAACTGTTTTTCCCAAGCAATTTATGTAGGCCCCTACCTGCCTCTTTGCCCTTGTACTATCCTAACTATTGCTCGCTGTGCCCTAGCCACACCGGTAAGGATCTTTGTATTAGGCTGTACTCTCTCTCTGAAATGCTCTTCCCTCTTAGTTTTGCATTTTTTTGAGACGGAGTCTTGCTCTGTTGCCAGGCTGGAGTGCGGTGGCACATCTCAGCTCAGTGCAACCTCTGCCTCCCGAACTCAAGTGATTCCCCTGCCTCAGCCTCCCAAGTAGGTGGGACTACAGGCACTTGCCACCACGCCCGGCTAATTTTTTGTATTTTAGTAGAGATGGGATTTCACCATATTGGTCAAGATGGTCTCGATCTCCTGACCTCGTAATCCACCTGCCTTGGCCTCCCAAAGTGCTGGGATTACAGGCATGAGCCACTGTGCCCGGCCATAACTGGCTTTTCCTTAACAGTATAACTGATACTTCCTCAACTATCCAATCCAAAGCTGCCACCTACTCCCTGGCTACCACCTGTCCCTTCCTTAATTTTCTGCATAGTGCTTACTACCAGTTGAGATTATTCTTGTCTATTTCATTGTC